AGAAATTATTTTTCTAAATTAAAATATTACTAATTATTAATAATTATTTTTATTTAATTATAAAAATATAATTTTTATATTAAAATTAAAAGCGTTAATTTTAAAATATAATTTTAAATTTAGATTATAAAAATATAGAAATAGCGTAATTATAAAAGTATTTTAAAGCTATTAAAACGCCTACTTAGCGCTATCTATTTACTCTAATAATCTAGATTTTTTACTATTCTTACTTTCTTTAAATAAATTAATAAATAATATTATTATATTAAAATAATTATAGATAAATTATTAATAGAAATTAATAAAGTCTAAAAAGACTTATATATTCTAATAACTTTTTAATTTTAATTACTTTTTAATAATAGCGATATATTTTTAATTTATTACGATATTTTCGATAAATATAATAAACTTTAGAAATTTAACTTATTTAATATAAAATTAATATTTTTTAAAATTAATATATAGTTAAAACTAATATAAATACTTAAATATTTACTTAATATATCGCTAATACTTTATTAAATTAATACTATAAATTAGAATATTATCTAAATATATTATATATATTATATCTATTAAATCTATAAAAACTCTATTAATATATATTTAAAAAGTTATTAATATATTAATAAGCTTAAAAAATATAATTAAATATTTAAAGTAATTATAGTAATTACGAAACGCTATTTTTTACTTATTATCTTCTTTAATCTAAATTTAATAATAAATATCTTTAAGATCTAATTTTATAAAGATTTTAAATTTATATAAGTAATTTAAAATCTTAATAATTAAGAGTAGCGAGTATTAATTTTTAATAATTATTATATTTAGATCTCGATAATTAATATAAAAATAAAGTCTTTTATTCTTTTTAAGAATAAAAAGAATTAATACTTTAATTAAGAAAGTTAAATAATAAATTTAATTTTTCTAAAGAAAATTCTCTAGATAACGTTATAGCTTTATTAACTCCGTTTAAGATAGATTATATAAGAGACTATATAGTAACTTCTTATCGCTTTTAATCTTAATAATATAATTTCTCTATTTAAATATAAATAAGATTTTTACTTTTTTATTAAAAAAAATATTATTAAACTCTAATAACTTCTAAAAAAGCTTTAAATTATATTTATTTTTCGATTCGCTTTACGCTATTATAATATATATAATCGCGAATATATTTAATTTCTATTTAATAATTTAAGTAAATTTAATTAATTCTTTAACTTATAATTTATTAGCGTTAATTTTAAATTATTATTACTTTATTATTAAATTTAATAATACTTATAATTAATTTAATTTATATATATTTAATATAATATTAAAATCTTTTTAATTAATAATATAGAAGAGTATATTATATTCTCTACTTTAACTCTAGCTATTTATTAATTAATAATTTAACTAATACGCGCTATAGTAATATATACTTTAACTACTTAGCGCTTTTAATTATAATAAAATAACGTTATAAGATTTTAAGTCTTATTAAACTATAAATTTTTATAAAATTAAATTAATATATACTCTAATATTAAGTAGAGTAATAAATTACCTCTATTTATTTTAAAGCTTTATTTATTCCTTTATAAGAATAGAAGAAATTATCTCTATTAATCGTTATTCTTATCTCACTTTTAAAGCGATTATAAAATCTAATCTTTTTTTATTAATATAATATTAATATTAATAATAGATAATTTATTAAAATCTAAATATTTAGATATCTAATAATCTTATTTATTATAATAAAAATAATTATTCTTTTTATAATTAGAGTTAAAGAATTCGACTTTATATTTTATATTATTCTCTTAAATATACGCTATTTTAGCGTTATTATTTAAAGTTAATTTAGACTTCGAAATTTACTTCTTTAAAAGCTTATTCTTAATAAACTCTTTTAAAAATTTTAAATAAAAATCGTTATTAAAGCGTACGCGTTTTAAAATCTTTTTTTATATAATAATTTAAATAAGAATTTATTTTTATTATTTTTATATATTATTAATATATAGAATCTTATTTTTAAACTTTAATTTAAGCTTAGCTAAGAAAAAATCAATTTAATACTTTTTAGAAAATAGAAGTAAATAGACCTCTAGCTTTTTTAGATAAGTTTTAAAAATAGATATCTTCTAATTAAAGCGATATTTAATCTTCTTTTATTTTTTATAAATAAGAAGATAGCGGTTTATTAAATTCGTAATTAAATTAAGTAGAAACTACTTAAAGAATTTAAAGGTTATATTTCTTAGATTATAGATTTAATAATATCTATATTATTAAATATTAAAATTATCTTCTAAAAATTATATATAATAAATAATTCTAATTTAATCGATAGTAAAATATTTAGAACTTATAAGAAACTTAATTTCGACTTCGCGAAATTAGCGTAAATACTCTTTCTTATTAATACTCTTATAAAAATATATTTTTTTAAAGCGAAGTATTTTTATTTTAATTAATATATTTATTAAAGACGCGATAGTAATTAGTATAAATAAACTCTTATTAATTATAAATAATAAGCTAGCGTTATAAAGCTCGCGATTATAGGCCTCTAATATAATTAACTCTTATTCTTATTTTAAATAATAGTTTTCGACCTTAATAATCGCAAGACGTTATTTTATAATAAGATTTTTTATTAATAAGAAACTTTCGAATTAATCATCGGCGCTATAGCGACTATCGATATTATTTTTATTATTTACTATATAATTTAGAGATAAATCTAATATTATAATAATAATAGGCTTTTTTTTTTAAAAGATAAAGAGATTAGAATTATAAAGACGTAGTTTATTGATAATTAGCTAGTGAATATAAACTATAAAAAATATAGAGTCGTTATAAGATTTAATAATATATTTAATAATAGAACTAATCTCTAAAGAATATTAAAACTTCGAGATATATAAAATAGATCTATATTCGCTAAGTCTCTAAATATATAAGATATATTATTAAAATTAAACTCTAAAAGAAACTCTAACGTAATATATACGATATTAGCGCCTTAGCGTAAGTAGCGTCAAGGTCTATAATAGTATTAGATTTAATAATCTAACTAATAGATATATTATCGATATTTCTTTTATTTCACGATATAAATATCTAAATAAAACGTTATAACGAGTAAGGGAGGCCTCATGGTATAGGTCTTTAGCGATAACTTTTATCATAATTCCAGGAAGGCTGTGAGTTTAAATCCACGAAAACCCTCATGTTCAGCTATCTATAAGGCCATCCGATATCGATCTTCTCGTCGAGCCCGGCGGTCTACTTATGACGATATTCTAGGAAGGAGGTAAGTAAGTGAAACACTCTTATATATATTAGCGAGTTTTAATATATATAGCTAATAATACGACTTTATTAGAATTTTAGATATATAATAATATATATTATATAGAACGAACGAATTAATTCTCTAAAACCTCTTCGGGGTTAGGTTTTAAATATAGTATAAAATTAGATGACTAAAAAATATAATAGCTGAGATACGCGGAGGTTAAAAATATAATAACTGAAATATATAGAGATTATATTTAGTAATATAATTTTAACTTTATAGTAATTATACTTTATAGTAATTATATATATAATTACTATAAGATATATAAGTCTAATAATTACGCTAGTAAGACGCTAGTAAATATTTAATATTTAATTTAAAAGCCTTCTATTAAGAGATATTATTTTCGAATAATATAATATAAAATTTAAATATTTAATATAAAATTTATAGCTAGTAAGTATAATCGAAGTTTTTAAAGAAAGATAAGATTTAATAAAGATATTTTAAATCGTCTAATCTTTTATATTATTTAGTTTATAATAAAATATACTTAATAGAAGACTTAATAATAATAAAATAATTATAAAAAAATTAGATTTAAATAGAGAAGGTAAAATTTCTTCGTAGAGAATTATTAAGATTATGAATTTAATTAATTAGAAGGCTTATATAAAGATTACTAAGTATTTTATATAATTTATACGCTATTATATAGTTTTTATCTTATATTACTATAATTACTATAAGACACATAGCCTTATATATAAAATCACATTTCTAGTCACATTTCGATAGGCTTAGCAATGAATATTTGCGATATAGGCCCTTCGTCTACTATTATTATACTACCTCTGAGTTATTTATAACGAACCTCAAGCATTACGTCGTCGCCGTAAACGATTACTTCGAAATCAATAAAGTGGAAGTGTAGGGCTGGCCATAGGATACCCCACTAATGCGAGTCTGAATACTGAGACTAATTCGCATCCCTACCTTCGGGCCTCATCCATGAATAACTACTACTACTACTACTACTACTACTACTACTACTACTACTACTACTCTAAACCGTGGCTCGGGAATAGGAGGCCAATATCCGGAGAGCAAGCAACTGATGTATGTCATGAGAAAGATTGTCAAACTTCCTCCGGAACGAGGCCTGAGAATATGCACAACCAAGTTGCCATCCGCGAGATGTAGGAGTCCGATGTGATTGCAAGCATAATGTCAGTGGCAGAACATGAGGCACCGCCTCCGCATGTTCGGAGAATTGTTTCCTTTCCCGCGGAGGGTACCTTCACACGCATTCAGGAAGGTGAACACGGGAGTTTTCGATCCAACCATACAAGGGCTCGCCACGCTAGTGGGCACGTCAGCTCGCCAGTCCTGCCCAAGCAGACGGTGAGTGATTGATGATCATCGGTAGTTTCCCTAGCTTGACGATTAGAGCAATAGCATCGCTCACTTGGGGCGACGATTCTAGAATCGGAGATCCTTCGGCCATTCCCCGAGCTGACAGAGGTCTAACATCATCATTGTACATCTATGCAAACCTTAGTCAACCCTGAAAATGAGACAAAGCGCAGCAGGATTCGAAAATATGTCAATGAGATCTAAGAGTAGGGGGCGGGACGAACTGCTTGACTTCAGCTTGACAGTCTACTTGTAAGCTGATACAATGGACGCATCGAAAGCATCCCATCCCAGACCAACGATCGTCTTCGTCCCCGGCGCCTTCCATACCTCAGCCCATTTCGAACCAATCAGCACCCTTCTAAATCAAGAGTCTTTCCCTACCACAACAGTCGAACTTCCTACGACTGCTCGAGCAAGAACAGCTTCATATCGGGATGATGTGTATGCAATTCGATCCGTGCTTGAGAAACTAGTCGAAGGAGATGGCAAAGAGGTAACGTTGGCGCTCCATTCATACGGCGGAGTGCCAGGATGCCAGACTGTCAGCGGACTAGAGAGAAGCAAGCGCAAATTGGAAGGGAAACCTGGCGGTATAGTTCACGTATTGTTCATCGCTGCTCTACTGGTCGAACAGGGCCATGGAATGGCAGCTGCTCTGGAGGGTGGCAAGGCACCATCCTGGGCCGTTTTCAAGGTGAGGAATTCCATACTGGTTCAATCCAATCCAACATTCTTCGTGTCTACGACGGGTTGTAACATAACATTTCGAACAGGATGGTCTTCTTTACCCTGTCAACACGTTGTCCGTCTTCTACAACGATCTTCCTCCCATGGAAGCGGAGCACTGGAATTCTCTGCTGGTCCCAAAGTCAGCCAGCAAGACGTCTGTTGATGTGGCTGACGTGTGTTATGATCTTGATGTACCTATTACGTATCTGCTTTGCACCGACGACCCTATGCTCGTTATGCTAGAGGGAATGGTGGCAAAGGTGAAGAGGCAAGGTTGGAAGGTCGAGAAGATAGGTGGAGGGCATTCACCCTTTGTGGGGAGGAAGAAGGAATTACTTGGAATCTTGGAGAAGTGTTCAGGGTTCTAATCCGAAAAAATGTCGCGGCGTTGCTGCTCATACCTTTCACGAATAGCTTAACATCAACAACGTGGCTTGGTTAATAGACTTATGATTAATTGAGCCATTTCCTAGCTACTGCTCTCCTCGCATGAGCCAGCTCATTGGAAATCATGGGTCATTTCGAGGCTTGGCAACGGCGAATGAAGGCGACGTAGTCTTGAAATGAATGCTGGACCATGTTGTAGAGGTTATGGAAAGGAAGACCGTTGAGACAAATGCTGGACCATGTTGTAGAGGTTATGGAAAGGAAGACCGTTGAGACAAATGCTGGACCACGCTGTAAAGGTTACGGAAAGGAAGACCGTTGAGACAAATGCTGAAACAAACGTTTACCAACCTCAAGGCTTGTGTGCCGTAGACAAAACTAGAGAATTTTCCAAAAAAAAAACGATAAAATTTATTGTTCTTCTCTGGCACCGCGTCCCAACTGTAGCCTTCTACTACAACAGTATCTTTGCCTTGCAGGTCAGATGAGAAAAGTTCGAAACTTTTTGGTCACCTCTTTCTGGCACCGCGCCTTTAAAGCCTACTTTATACTACATTCTCTGCAAGTTCCCCACCTCGACGTCTCCGTCTTTGATACGGTGGTATCGGATCCAATGAGGGTGTTAGTGTTGAGTCTTTGAGACCACCGCGTTGAGGTAAAGTAAGGATGTCGAATGGCGGCCAAACGAGGCGGATCTCTGCTAGCATTTGTCAAGCGAGACAGGTTTGGGAGGTTGCAGTTCAATGGTCAACATCATTACAAATCTATTTGTGGTAAAACGGCGTGGTGAGTGTTTTAAATTTCGTGCAATCATGGTTATAGATTTCAGAACATATATACAGCATCGTTTGTACAAGGATCCCCTCAATCCATCTTAATATGTTAAAGCATCCTCGAAAAGACCTCTCAACTGCTCTTTCTCTTCATTCACCTCTTCACTCAAGCCCGGTGCCAACATCAGCACCCTCTTCTGCGGTAGCGTTCCTTCAACCAATCCATCTATATCACCACCTCCAAACCCCAATGCCTTCAACCCTCTGGGCTGATCACCCAACTCCACCAGAAAATTCGATAGCGCCTCCGCAAGTACTTCTCCCGCGCTTTCCCTCTTCACGGAACTAGTGTCCACTCCAAAGATTTCGGCAGCTGCAAGATGCCTTTCCGGATTTGAGGCGGCTGTGAATTTGAAGACTGCAGGTGCTGTAACGGCCACGCTGACGCCATGGGGAATGATGGGCTTATCGGTCACGTAGCCCGCATGCTTGTAACCCGGATTCTGCCCGCTGATAGGATAGCTCATGCCATGGCACAGATGAACACCTGCATTCCCGAAACCTACGCCGGCCAAGGTAGCGGCGAGAAGCATCTCTGATTGGGCTTCATGATCTTCAGGGTCTTTGGCCGCGCGAGGAAGATACTTGACGGTTGCTCTGAGAGCTTGAAGGGAGAATATGTCAGAGATGGGGTTGGCCCCTTGGTATGCAGGCCGGTTTATTGGATTCTCTGGCCGCGGCGTTCGAGTTTGATATGGGATGGCGGTCCATGACTCGAGGCTGTGGCAAAGCACGTCGAGGCCTGTTGATGCATGGACTGCAGAGGGCATGGTACGTGTGTTTAGGGGATCACATATGCCCAATGTGGGCTTTAGAGCGCGGTGCGCGATTCCTGTTTTTGCTTTCTTGGCGACAAGGTCGAATATGGCCGTCCCTGTAGTCTCTGATCCAGTGCCGGCGGTGGTGGGAACAGCAATCAGTGGGTAAAGCGCCTTTGTGATTGGCAGACCCTTACCCAGCGGAGCATTGACGAAGTCGAGAAAATCAGCATTGGGGAAGTTCGTATAAAGATTCATGAGTTTCGCTGTATCTATGACACTGCCTCCTCCGACTGCGAGGAAAGCGTCCGGCCCATAGTTCTTGGAGAAGTTGATCGCATCCTTGATACTGTGTTCCACTGAGCAACAGGAATTCAATCGAAGTGATCAATGAATCCCCACTCACGAGCTGTCTTTGGGCTCTACCCTCGTTCCATCATATATTGTGAACTCCACCCCCTCCCTTGTCAACCCCTCCACAACCTGACGCATAGCATCCAGCTTCCCAACGGTCTTGTCTGTCACCACGCATACTCTCTTAGACCCCATATTCTTGAAGTCCATGCCCACTTCCTTCGTGCATCCGGGTCCAAACCGGATGCTCGAGGCTGCCATTTCGAATGCATATTCTCTCTTTCTTGACGCGTCGACAGGTGTAGCAAGAGATCGCTTTGCATGGTTGAGTATTGAAGGTGTAGGTTGATAATGGCCTGGGCTTGCATGACACGGACAGTTGGGAGGATGGGTATATTGAACTGTTCGAAGGAGATTGAGAGCGCGGTTAGCGGCAGTGGGCGCCTGGCGTATGTTTAGACCCATTGCGCAAATAAAACTAAGGACAGAGCAGAAAAAACACTAGATTGACTCCTCTCAGGATCTTCTCATGTATCCCAGAATGATTCCAACCATAACAAATGTACGAGGAAAACAGCATGAAGTCAGAATGCCATCTCTACTGTATTTGCGGGGAAAATGAACCCCACACTCTCGGGCGATCTTCCGGGATCCGGGACTTGGATGGCGCTAGAGTTCCCGGTAAGGTAAGGTACTTTATTCACCAGAGAAGAGACTTGCACCGCTTCATCTGATCACCTTTCCTCACATGCCACAGCTCAGTGCCGGCCGTTGCCCTGGTATTGCGAAAACATTCTCTCACATTCCATTTGCAGTACCCCAAACAAGTATGTAAAGGTTGCGAAGAGACATCCTGAACAACCTAAGCTAGGCGTCTCGCAAAGATCATCTCGAACTTGGGACGCGGCCTCGACGGGGGATCCCAAGCGCACTTCTCTGCTGGTTCAGCCTGCGATAACGAGGCAGCGGTGGCTGATTAAGGAGCACCACAATGTAAAATGGCATTCAATGGTGCATGAAGAATGGAACTATATAACACTCCGCAGAAGTCTTTTGTTGAAAGGCTCCACCAATGCTTCTAACCATAGCAGCATCGTTACAAAATAGAATGAACATCTGTCTAACCTTCTCCCTCCTCGCTCTGCGCCTTCCCTTCTCAAGAGAATCTATAGACACGGTTCCTTTCCTTCAAAGCAATCCCCAGCCTGAATTACTTACTCGATTCCGAGTTCATCTGAAGGTACTTGTATGCTCCAAATGCAGCGATACCTCCCACCAGCACAAGCGCGTAGAGACCGACGCCCATGCCTGCACTTTCTGACTTGCTTGCTGTGGTTGTTGATGCTGCTGGGGCAGCAGCGCCGGAGGGGGCTGGGTCGCCCGGCTGCAAAAGCGAACTGCATCAGCGAATGCATTGTTGAACATGGTAGGTTGATGAAGCAATGGCCGGGCCAAACCCTGAAAGGGTGTTGAAAGTGGAGAGCCCAAGGACAGCGCGGGAGTCCGACCCCTGAGCTTGGGAGTAACGTACCATTCTCTTCAAATCTCCCACAAGCAGCCCATCCAATATCTCCCTCGCCTCATCACTGTGTCCCACATCCTCAAAGGCTTCCGTTGCGTCCTGGCCACCCACGTCAAGCAGCACTTCCTCTCCTCCGCTGTCACAGTCTGTCAGCCAACCTCCTCATCAACAAACACAGCAAAAGGAGTTGCAGGCCCGAGGCCCCCTTCATCCTCAGTTGGACAAAGTAGCGGCGTAGTGGGGTCATGGCTTCAAGGGCCGCTGATAGGGAGGAGAGGGAGCCATATCGCGGTGAATGAGAGGAGTAACACGTACGGGTGCTCATCCACGAATTTCGTGGCATCGTAGACTTTATCGTGCACGACAACGTAGAGATCCTATCCACCGATCAGATCCCATCAACCCCGATCCTTGATCTCAGTAAGGGTGGGCCACGAACCTTCTTCCCGCTGTGAGACTGTACGTCCGCGTACGTGAGCTCTTTGGCATCTGACATGGTGGGCGCCTGCGGTTGGCAGAAGGGGAGGGCTCAATGAACGAGGCGGGCTTGGAGTAGCAAGGGTACAGGCCAGAAAGGAGTCGGTGAGATTTCTCGGATTCCGGTAGATTTCGGTGGAACGAGGGAAGGATACTGGATGTCGCGGAGTCATCAAGGCTTGGCATCGGTGTGCCTAACTAAGTAGGCTCGCGGGTAGCAAAAAACCCCCGGATTGGCCGAGGGTCGGTGACAAAAGTCTCTGCCGACTTTTAGTGGGGGCTGCGGGAGAAAGTCGGCAGAGACTTTTGTCACCGACCCTCTGGCCTGCAAATTTAGCGAGCCTTCAGGTACTCGTAGCCCTCAAATCTAAACGTGACAAAACCCGAGTCGCACTTTTGAATCCACTTCACTTGCCCTGTGGTTAACTATCGTGACAAGACTTTGTTTTCAAGATTATAGAGAATAAGCAAGAGAGTCTTTCTCATATAGCGACTTCTTTAAAGCAGTCTTGCACAAAGGAGATATCTTGGTACGAGTGCCAATCCGGTTTCTTGGCTACCCGCGAGCTAGGCAATTTGTGTCAATCTCTATCAATACTCGACTTTACAGATTTCCTACGCTGCACTCAATTCTTCCTTGTCGTCAAGAGGGTAAGTATTCATCGCAAGTTTTACAAGAACAAGATGCAGGAAGCTTTCATGAGTCGCGTAGTAAGCTATCTACCTACTTAAGCTAACAAGGTCCTTGAAATTTAAATTGTTTCCAGCACCCCAGTCGGGTCTTTTGTGCATGCATTAGTCAACATAGTCGGGTCCTTTTCGCTTGCATCAGTTAACATGGGTAGTCCCATATCGTCTATGGACCCCATGCAACATGCCTGACAATCTTGACACCATGTAGTGGTAGAAGATGTGGTTGAGGTATACGGCACCCATTGCTTTCTTCCCAGTCTCTTCACTCCTCAAATGCATGCGACCGAAACAAATTGCAATCCCAGGTAAAAGACGCTCAGGGTTTCAGCCAGGTATCACGAAAGATGGAACGCCCCTTGCCCTTCTTGTATAGCAGTCAGAAGTCGCTTCCTCAAAACATCGATGTTCGTGTAGTCCGGAAGCTTAACGTAGTTCGCACAAGTCATCACCGAGATTAAGAAATCGTCAGACGTGTATGGAGGTTCGCTCGGTTTGCAAACCACAGTAAACATGGGGTTAAGGCTCTTGAAACCTATGCATCAAAGTCAGAAGAACTCGCACAGCCAGATAAGAGGGTGTACTAACCACCTATAGGTAGTTTGGGACTGCCAGTGACGAACTGGAGAAAGTCCCGTCGTTGGGGCATTGAGAGCTCACTCATGGTCTGTAGTAAGTTGCGGACGCTCTTGCTATCCATGTTGAAGCCGTGATCTGCCTTGATCGAATCAAGCAGTGTTTCGATACTCCAATCTTCTTCAACTCGGCCAAACAGCATGACCAGTTCACTCGGCGTGAATGCCTTCAAAGCTGTGTAGGGGAATACCTCCGAGAATCCCAGTCGAAAATGATCCACCTGTCGTTGCACGCCGCTGCCGAGAGTCATATCAATGACCTTCTCCACGTAAGACGCAACATTTTCAAGAGTCACGGGCCTATTAGCACCGTCTGGTAGCAACTCAATAGCTGGATACCCAGGGAGAGTAAAATCCAAGCTGAGGTCTTCGATGTGAGCTCCATTGATGACGACCTTGCGTTCGGCCTGGGCCTTCTGGGACGCCGATTTGTAAGATGTTCCATCAATTTCTTTCTTAGCAATAGCGTATTGCTTTAGAAGCTTCAAGCTCCTCGCAAGATGGCTGTCCACGGTCTTTACAGCTCCCAATGACAAAGGAACAGTGCTAGGCTGATCACCAGTGCGGAAGAAGGTGGGATTAAGGGAGACATCAATGATCCTAGAGTCGAGCATGGATCTTGCAATGAATTTGCCAAGCATCTTAAACACGTTGAGGATCTTCTTGCCAGCTTCGCTATCTGCTTTCTCGGCATTCATAGGAGCGGGGAACATGCCTAGCTTTCCAAACGCATATTCGTCGTTCTCGTTCGCGTCGTTCTCTCTCCAAAGTTTAGTACTCTTTTTTGAGAATTCCTTCGATACTGTGGAGTAGAACTCGAGCGTAGGACCAAGACCAGTCCCGACCTCTTCAAAGTACTCTACCTCGAGCACACTGGATGATCCACCGTAGAGCTCCATGACTTTCATTGCCGAGTCGAGCATTCTGCTTCTGGATATGCGGACTTTCTGTCGCTGCAGACGTCCCATGAATGGACGATCATCACGATGTCGCTCTCGTCGATTCTCTTCTGCTGACTGATTTTGCCATCTAGTCATCGAGCGTGCATAACCAAAAGACGTCGATTGTAGGAACAAGTGCCGCGTCTCGAACGGGAAGAGGAATGGATAAAGACGTGCAAGGTCCTCACTCCAGCTAGGCAGACAATTGCTTGCAACGATCAAGGGCTCTTCAAGCTGACGATTGAGCTTCGCTGTCAACTTAGTGTTGACAAATTGAGCGACTGGTTCCGCTTTAACATCTACACATGCTTTGCTATCATCTAAGACATCGTCTAAATTAGCGTTCATCTCGTGGAGAATGTTGAGTAGTCGGAGGATTGTCGATGTAGCTGGATGCTCATGTAGAGACGGGGGCATTCTGGAATCCGCCGTAGCACTTGCCCCAGTGACCGATTTCAGGGAGGTTGACTCGGCTGGTGGAGGCCCTGGTACTCGCTTGAAATTCACGGTGTGAATGGCAGACCAGATGTTGCGCGGAGCAGGATCTGCGGGCTCTGACTTATCGTTGAGGACCGCTCCATAGATAGTCGTTTCGTTGGATAGCGGTTGGCCGTTGATGCTGAATTCAATATGCCAATCCTGTGGCACTGCTTGAATTGCTGCTGCGTAGGACATGGCACGACCTGACGAAGAAGAATTGATGCCGGCAGCTAGCAACTCTCGACTACGGGCGGAGGGAGGACCGTGCAGCGATGCTACAGAACCTTGGGATGGAGTTGCGACCCGTGTCCCATCTTCTTTTCGAGCGGTAACCTTCCCTGTTGAAGCTATTTCCATATTGACTGCAGTAGGTTCCGGTGCCTGTTCGCCTTCTATACCATCTTCCAAATCGTCAACGATAGCATCTAAGGCGCTGCTGTCGTCGACATCATCTTCATCAGAGATCTGTCTCTCGTCTGCGCATTCCAAAGGGCTCTGAATTCGTTCAGGAGCTGGAGCAGGCGCGTCTGGCGGACTATGATCCGCAGGTTGATGCTTTCGGCTTGACCGACGTGCAGATGTCGGTTTGTCTTTCGCCGGAGTTGAGTCAGAAGCCGCCGGTGCGTTCTTGGATTTGGGTCCTTTACGTGTTGCTCGAGCTGGTGTAGCAGGATCAGACGGTGTCGGATGAGCTGGTGAATCCCCAGTGGCTGTGCCACCCCGCTCTGCCAGCCTATGATGAGGATTAGGAATTCCAGCAGCAGCAGCGAAAGCGGCCAAAGCATTTGAAACTCCTTCACGATGTCTAGCGCTCCTCGGTCGATCCGAGAGACTGATTCGCGGCCGTAAATAATCATCTAGGGCCTTGAAAGTAGCAATAGCGTGTATGGAGATCATGAGGTTCTTGTATGGCCTAGGCATCTCGGCATCGTCGTCAGCAGCCATGAGCTTCAAGCGCAGCTGCTTTGATAGCATCGCAGCTGGACTGCTACGGTTATTGTCAAGTGCGTTGTGGTGCACTGTTACTACTTCAAAGTGTTCCGCACGGCTGAGTAGATCTTGAAGCTTGTGGACGAGGACGCTGAACGGCGTTGGTGGAACGCTCTGAACTGTTGAGGTCTGAGTCGGTGCGGTCATGAAAACTTCTAGGAATGTTGTTCTCGCTTTCGCGCTTATATTATCTGCAGAGCTGCTGAAAACATCCAAAAGAACATGAACAATCTCCGAATGTAGCAACTCGGAGCTCGTGATTGTCTCCAACGCGTCTCCCTGGAAGTGTTTGGATAGCTTCGTGAAGAGTTCTGCTCCGTCACATGTCTCGTCAACCGAATAGCAATTCTCGATATCGGCAGCAAGATTCGTAAGCTCCCCCAAAATCGTGGATGCTCTGTCACGCATGGTCTTGCCCTCTGCGGTCTCGTGAACCTCTAGAAACTTCTTGGCTCGAAGAACGTTGAGATCGTGATCACTGGCAACAGCGTGCATTGGGTAGCTCTGGCTCGACGAAGAAGAGTCAGACGGGGAGGGTGAGATGTCTTCACGGATATCACGGGGTTCCTCATCATCGTCATCATCGTTACCATCGTCGTCCTCGTCATCTTCACCATGGTCACTATCATCTTCAGAGGGCGCATCAACTGCAGCTTTGTCGTTGGGTTGCTCCGCGGGAGCTTTGGAAGCAGGAGGCTGTAGACCTGTAGGCTCTGTGTTTGGATCTGCTCTGATAACTTTGGGCTTATGCTCGATCGTCGTCATAGTTTTGCTGGCGAGCTTGGAGACTTCAGCCATAACACCCTCACGATAGAACTGGTAGCCATAAATTGAGGACAACCGATTGAGAAGGAGATCCGAGGCTTTCAAGGCCGACGTCACCAACGAGGGGTGATCTTCTTGTGAAAGTATCGATGCAAGATAAGAAGCGTAAGGTACGGTGCGAAGAGCGTCTTCCAATATGGAGGCGTCTAGATTTGAGACCATTTTAAGCTGAGCCAATAGCACCTTCTGACGGACAACAAGGTTGACAGTGCTTGAGTAGGCATCAGTGAGTGTAGGGAATAGAACAATCGCGAAACGCTTCAATTCTTCCTTGCAGCCTTTGAGCAGTTCGACTCGCTTGGAGTTGTGAGAGCTCCTAGAGGCGCGGTCGACGTGCGACATTGTTCCGTCAGCTATTAAACCTGCGTCATGTGAAACCTCTTGGAAAGACAGCCTCTCGGTCTGAACTTCAGGTAGTAGTTCACAGATGACATTGAGGGTCTCAGAGATTTGTTCTCGTGGACGATGGATCAAAGCTTGCATGATGAAAACACTGTCGATTTGGGAGGCCACATCCTTGAGACCACTAGGTGGTGATATCCCAGTCAGTATCTGGTACAGAGTATCGACAATACCCATCTTAAGAAGTTCTGCAGACAAGCGAGGACTAGCGCGGGCGCTGATGGAGAGTACCCGCAAGAACTGAGTGTGTATGTTGGGCCCGATCAAGTTGGTGGTTCCAGGCTGCAGGAGTCGACGGATAGCTTTAAGTAGATCAATGCTCACAAGCTCCTCCAGCTTATCTTGCTGATACTTGAAGCTCTCAACAACCCTCGAGACACATATGGATCCTTGTTCTACCACCTTCTGATCACTGCTTGACAAAACGTTCAGCAATACGGGCATGACCTCTTTAATCACGGGGAAGGAGTCTTGCGGAATGTTTTTGCAGCAATTTGCAGCTGTCGTCACAGCGGTTCTCTGGGTGCTCGTGGCGAAGAAATCGAGATAAGCCAAACACGCAGTAAGACCTCCTTCACGGACAATGGCTGACGGGAATTCCACAGAGATCTTCTCCAGCGTACTCAGGGCTTGCTCAGCGAGATCTATGAAATGAATCTCCAAGAGCTTCTCACAAAGTATAGGTACAGCACCACCATAGACGACATTAGCTGTCGAAGGAGGCAAAGCTTCCATTAGATTTGCTATGCAGCGGCAGGCCAGCAGCATCATCTCAGGGTTTTCTTCTCCATATTCGCTTGGCCGCATCAAGGTCACCAGCTCCTTAATGAATTGGTCGGGAGAGAAGTGGCCTGATAGGTTGTCCTCGTTCGAGACAAGGAGGATTTCCGAGAGCTCTTGCAGTGCAATAAGTTGCACGGAAGGGTCATCCTTCTGCCTCAGATTATTCAGGATGTCTCGTAGCCGCTGTGACACACCAGAAACGTAGCCGCTCAAGGCACGTAAAGTGCTCGACATGCTGGCGTGTGGTACGTTACCACCAAGGTAGCCTCCCCGGAACGGATCGCCCTCGTCATCATCTTCCTCATCAAATCTTCTCCGGGCCGTTGCTTCCCCGTCAACATCATCATCATCACTGGAGTCTTCGTTCCTCGGAGGTTCCACGATAGGTTTGGGGTCATTATTTGCAGTCTCGTCTGGGCCCTTCGCCACGACGTCCTCTGTTTTCTTCGTGGTTGCCTTCTTTGAGCGTTTCGTGGAAGCAGTAGGTAATGACGATGATTCTGGATCTAGATGTTTTAAAGGTTAGCTCTTGGTCAAGCAGAAGACTGGTGGGGCAGACCTTGAGTAGACTTCTTGCTTCGACTCGATTTTCGCCTAGACGTATCGGGTATTGTGGGTGGAGATTTCTCCTTTTCACCGGTATTACCTGATGAGGGACTGCTTGAAATAAGCAGAATGTTCTCAACGAATACTAAGGGCTAACGTACCCTGGTTTTGCCATGGTGATCGGCTGCTGAGTGCCTCGTCGACGAGACCTTGGAAGCGTTGGCGTTGACAACGTCTCGGCCACTAGCTTTTGCTTCTTTGCTCGTCTAGGAGGTGTAGGATTGTTGGTATCAGCTGCTTTATCAGGACTAGAGTCGCGATCTGGGAGAGCCTTGCGTTTGCGGGACTTAGGCCGTGGTTCAGCAGCGGCCGAGGTGTTCGTGGGGGTGGCTGCTGCCGGCGAGGACTCTGCAGCAAGCTTCGTTGCAGAGCGAGTCACCCTGGAAGACATGAGAATTTGAGCGTACAGTGGACGGCTGAAGCAGCCCTTGCAAGAGGACGGAAACTATGTATGATGTGGAGGTCTGATAGTGCGGGGAGAGGGGACGGTTGCTGCTACTCGTAGAGGTTTGAAATGACGGTGAAGGAAGGATGATCAAAGTGGTAAGAAGGTGTAGCTACCTAGATATGGAAGAAGTATGTGATGGGGTGTTGTCGAAAGAGGCTTCGAACTTGGAGGAAGGAGCTGGCACCATTTGCGGTTCAACCCTCCATAAGCGGAGAGATGAATCTTGCAAGGACTTTTACACAAGCCTTAAATACATGTCCGGCTCTAGCGGGCCATTAGCGAGTGGCGGTACTTGTGTGTTGAATGTAGATCCAATAAGTGATAATGTGAAGTAGATGCTAAGGTATGGTATGTTGTATGGTATGGTCAATGCCCAATATGCTGTGAGAGTGACAGCAAAACTCGCAGCTCGCAGACAAGGATGAAGTACGCCTGGATAGCCTCGGCTAAAACTGAAAAACGCTAGTCTTTGAACCCTGCACGGAATTGATATGCAACAAGATGCCTTACTATTACTACAAGTACGTAGAGTATTCTTCAAGTTTTCTTTTTCCATCACCTTCGCAATCATTGCTCAAATCAATCATACGCAGGCAGCGAAAAGAATCGCATGGTTTGGATAGAATTCGCAAAATCATTTGGCCCAATATCGAAAAATCTCAATTTCTGCCTATCAAAGCCGAACATATGACTCGGGTCTCTCAGTCCGTTCTCGAAATTGGCATAAACTCCTACATACTCATACACGGCCTATGATATCTCTTGGAACATCCTACTTTCCTGCAGATAACTCCCCCAACGACAACTTCCGGAACTTTTGGCGGAAAACGTTGTGCTCGAAGTCACTGCAAAACCTGACCGGTAACACAGGGTTCCGCGATTCGCCCAAGTCCAGTCTAGTCCGGGCTTCCGCTCTGAGATACAAAGTATGGGCGACTCCCCGAAGACGGATGGAGTGGCCTACCCCAATGGCCATGCCGTTGCCGCGACAACCACCAGTCTCGCAAATTACTCGTTCCCTGAGGGCCGACTCAAGACATTGAGTGATTCCGCCAAGACACCCGTTGTGTTGATGGCATGCGGCTCCTTGTCAGTCTAGGAGCACTACTCAAACCGCCATGATCTATTTCATTGACGTCTTTACAGCTCTCCGGTCACTTTTCTCCATCTTCGTAAGTGGACCATCGAGTGATAGGACATCTAGAGAAGATAAGCTGACTCAGAGTTCATGTAGGTCTATTCGAAATGGCCAACGACTACATTAAGTTTAGCCGGACGGAATTTGAAGTCGTAGGAGGTAAGTTCAATATGCAATATTCGACCCCGAATGGGTTAATGGATTTTATGCAGGCTATCTTTCACCAGTGAGCGATGCGTACAAAAAGGTAGGTCTCTTCTAAGAGAAGGTCCCTTCCGGATAAGGGTTGAAGCGGCATTACTAATCCATGGGTTCAGGCCGGACTTGCAAGCGCAGAGCATCGACTGAACATGTGTGAGATAGCATGTCAGGTGCGTCACGACAATGTTTGATCTACTTCTCATGCCATCAGCTTAATGGTCGCAGAATTCGGGGTTTGTCATGGTGGACCCTTGGGAAGTCATGCAGAAAGAGTAACATTCGATGGTCAATGAAAGTCTGCCACGCTGACACTTGCATTAGGTATCAGCCTACAGCCAATGGTAAGACTTCCATGATTACTTCGGCTGGGTCTAGCTCAAATACCTATAGTACTGGACCATGCCGAAAATGAGATCAATGTCCTAAGAGGAGGGGTCACAACTGTGGATGGTGAAAAAAAGCATGCACGCATAATTCTTTTGGCGGGCGCGGGTGAGCGTTCTTCCCCAAAGAAGCTATCGACTATTGCTGACCATTGCTCCAGATCTCATTCAGACCATGGCAAGCATCTTCAATTATTTCTTGGATGGTACTAACAATGTTTCAAGTCCACGCCAGGAGTGTGGTCACACCAAGACTTGGATCACATCTTGACACGGTACGGTGCTCTAGTAGTCGAAAGGGCAGGGACAGATATCGAAGACTCCTTGGCGACTCTTTCAGTAAGCATGGCTATATCTGTTGAGCCACATCCTAGCATGATCATTGACTAGAAAAAAGCAATGGCGAGAGAACATCTGGGTCGTCAATCAATTAGTCACCAACGATGTATCCAGTACAAAGGTAAGCGAGACATTCACATCATATAAGCAAGTAGGGTTGCTGACTTCCGTAATAGGTGCGGCTTTTCAAAAGAAGGAACATGTCCATAAGATATCTAATCCCGGCTGAAGTGCGGAAATCCTCTGCCTAGTAGGGTTGATACTGAAAGCAAGAACAGGTCATTGATTACATCAACGAACATCATCTGTTTGAAGATGATAGCCACCAGAGCCAAAGCGACGCTAAAGGCAATGCCTCCTCTGAAACCTCCAAATCATGAGGCGCTAGACCGAGAGAGCTGCGAATGTCACCCGCTCGCTGGCTTTGATGTGTGCATCAAATGGGAGACTGGGAAACGTGATCCTGGTCCGCGGCCCTAGAAAAAAAAACAAATCCAGCACAGAGTCTGCTTGGAGTTTGGCTCAAGTACTGTCATGAGTGCCTAAGTATCAGGCAAGAACAAGGTTTGGGTGTTCTTGTAATGTACTGGGCTTTGCTAGACCCCAAATGCTTGATAGCTCCGCTGCATAGAGCCCGTCTACAGAGACAAATAGAGAGCCCAAACTGAGTGACAATAGACTCTGTGAAACCGAGAATTGATGTGATCTAATGTGAACTTATGTGATTTTCTATGCTTGCTGGTGAAGCTTTACACATAGGGCTGAGAACTGCCAAGCTTATTTGGCCCCATCTTTCCTCACACTTGTGCACCGCCACCACCGCGCGTATTCGCTTGATCCTTCCTTGCTCGGCTAAAGATGAACAGCACAGGAGTTCCCAGGCTTGCAGTTGCTTCGTCACAGCAACAACCTCTCAGCAAAACATCTTCACAACTCGCTGCTCAGAAATCGCTTGGCGAAGCTCGAGCAAAACTCAAGCTTGAACACGCCGAGGCTACCACAGCAGTAGTAGATCCCTCTGCAACAAAACCTCCGCGGTTGACTGCTCGAGAAAGGGCAAAGCACCCAAAGCTTACCCCTACTGACGATATCCTGACCACTGTTGCCGCGAATCCGTGGGCAGCTCTCACCAGCTCAGAACAGTACTTGCTACAACCGGACCACCCTTCAGTGGAGCCCTTTTACGCACAATTAGAAGAGATTCGTCACATTCAGGCTCAATTCAAACTACTAGCCCGCAGCGCACATGCTCAAGTCAACCCACAAGCCCGCCGCTAGGCTGGAATCTTCGCCCCTCCCGGAAGGGTGGACGGAACACAAAGCTCCTACGGGTAAGTCACATCCAAGAGCTGCTTTTTGAACTTGCTCCCCCAAATATGAAGTGTAGCAATTTGCTAAAACTTACCGCCGGACCTAGGCCAGGCTTACTATCACCATGACTCGACCAAACAATCTACATATGTACGTCCTTCGCAGGCTCAGCAGCCCGCTGTGCGGTATTCGCAACAAGCTCCGAACGGTATCACAGGGCTTTCATTTAACGGACACCGTTTAAACAATTCATTTGGCATCAGCGGAGGTCTTCCCACGTTTGAAGGCATTGGCAATCATCCACATGGCAATAGAATCGATTATCGCGGGAGCGGGGGTAGCAGAGGAGGACACGCCAACCAACAGAAGCTTCAACCGAAAGACAGATCCAAGTTGAAATACGATATTCCTGGATGCAAACCATGGGTATTGGTGAAGACGAAGCTTGGAAGACGTTTTGTGTACAATCCTGAGAAGAATGAGAGCTTTTGGAGGATTCCTTCGGATGTGTTGCCAAGCCTGACCGAATTTGACAGGCAGGAACGGGAAAAGAGGACCAGACAAGAATGCGGCGAGAGCGGCGACATGGAAGATGAAGAGCAAGCTGAAGCAGAGACCGTGCTAGCAACAGCTGCAAATGGAGCTCCAACGGCGGCTCCAGCGCCGGGAACCAGCCTTGCTACCAATCAACAGACGGACCGACAGGCATTAGATAGCGACGACGAAGAGTACGAGGAGGTCGAAGTCACGGATGACGAGGACGTTAAAAATCCATCCAAGCGTCAAAAGACAGAAGACGAGAACATTGAGCAAGCGGTTGAATTTAATGAAGACGACATAGCATTTCAACTTGCTGCCATGGGCCAAGACTACGGGTTGGATCCGGGCGAGTATGGTGACGGCGGTGGCGAGGAGTTGATAGAAGGCGCCGAAGGCTTGGCTCTGACTGAAGAAGATGCAAAAGCGTTGTTCAAGGATATGTTGAGTGACCAGGGGATCAGTCCATATACGACTTGGGAGAAGGTCATCGAGGCCGGCTATATCGTGGAGGAAGAGCGTTATACAGTACTGCCAAACATGCGATCGAGGAAGGAGGTGTGGGGTGAATGGACTCGGGATACTATTCAACGCTTGAAGGAACAGCGAGAGAAAGAAGAGAAGAAGGACCCGAAGATACCATACTTTGCCTTCTTGCAGAAGAATGCTACGCCTAAGCTCTACTGGCCTGAATTTCGGAGGAAGTACAAAAAAGAGCCTGAGATGCACAACAACAAGCTTTCTGACAAGGATCGGGAGAAATGGTATCGCGATTATATCAGCCGTCTCAAACTTCCAGAAGTCACTCTGAAATCCGATCTAATTAAGCTACTGAAGTCGACTCCACTCTACGCACTCAACGAATCTATCACGATCCACGCGCTGCCAGCGACCCTTCTGACAGATCTCCGCTACATCTCACTACGACCAGCCATCCGAGACCCATTGATAGAAGCACATATATCTACCTTGCCACCCGCTCCGACCAAACTTGAGGTCTCACTCGAAGAGCAAGAAGCTCAGGCCAAAGAGAGGCAGGAGCGTCAGCGAAGGCAAGAGGCGCTGGCGGAGCGCCAAAGACAGGTACAAGGAGAAAAGAGAAGGCAGAACGGCGCTTTGAGATACAGCAAGGGTATGCTACGCGAGGGCGAAGAGGAAGTTCAGAGAGCTATGAGAGTTGGAAAAGAAGGGCTACTGGGACACATGGCGGAAGAGGAGTGATTATCTGTCCCAGCAAAGCCATGAGCCGCGGCAGTGACTCCAGATGAGAGATCAGATCCGATGTTCCTTTCCGCTCATGAGCAAAACCTCAGTTGATACAGCTGTAAATTATACCATTCCATAAGATCGTCACTGTGACGTGTGGTCAAAGACCCGCTAAAACACTATCATATTGAACATCAGATCCTCAACGTTACGTGTCACCTCCCCCAAGCACCCCATCCGTCATCGTCCTCTTCATCTTCACTTTCTTCATCCTCTTCCACCTCGCCAGCACGCTTGCCCTCTTCGTCCTTCGCTCCGTCTTCGAGCCTTTCATTAGCTTCCTTGGCCCTCCGTAATCTCAACTCCTCCCTCTTCTCCCTCAACCGTCTGACCCTTTCCTCAAGCCCCTCCATCTCATCAAACTCGTCCTCCAGCGCCCTAGCGGCATCTTCTTTCTCCCCTTCCACTTCCGCTTCTCTTCTTTCCCTGCCTTGCAAACTGGCTTGCTCGCGGGACTGTGCTGCTAGTTCGGCTGCGGTCATAGGCGCAGCAGTGATGGTTGCAGCAGCTGTGAGAGCAGTGGGAGCAGAGGGATCTGGAGGTGGAGTAGCGACGTCGCGTTCGAAGGCGGCCCATTCGTCCTCGTCAATGGGGGCTGCTGACGGCTGGGTTGTGGGGTTGGTGAGAGGATTTATGAGGGCCAGGTTTGGAGGAGCACCGTTCGCACGGACAAAGCCTTGAAGTGGTTTCGTGACTGCGTCTCGTTCCAATGGCAGGTTCGTTTCTTCAATAACAGGCTTGGTATTCGCGTTATTGGCCTCGATGGCTTCGTCAAAGAAGCCTCCAGGTACGTCTACGACAGGCCTCGTCCGCTTCCGCGAGTCATCGTCCCCATCGTCTGCTTTCCGCTTCTTGCTTCCTGCACTAACTTCTCGACTGCTTGCTTCTCCAGCTCTTTCTGGTCGATTGGAGCTGTTTGGGCGTTGGGATGTGCTCAATCGTAGTCGTTCTTGCCGCATCGCATGCTGCGTAGATTTGAGGTGTTTGTCCCATACTTCGACGTCTGATTTTAGTGGTATATGGCAAACGGCGCATTCTAAGGTACCTGTAGCTGAGTATGAGGCTTGGGGGTGTTTTATTCGGCGTTGAGCGCGTTCATTGCGGAGGAGGGAGCGGACGTCTGCCATGGCGAAGAAGCTAGAAGCTTGCTACGCAAGTAGCGGTCAGCTAAAGAGCATATCTGGCTGTGATGACCTGTGCTCCGTCCAGCGGATATTGATAAATCCTGCGGAAGCCGAGGTCTATTTTGATTGGTCCGGAGGCACATGGCAGGGCTGATCATGTGACCTTTTTGCCGGGTAAATTGAAGTCCCGGCACCAGTCCCATACAAACAAGCTCAACTCCACCATCCACCGTTCTGCTCATTCGCAAATACCGCCCCTCGATCACGTCGCTATCTTATCATACAAGACATTGCTATCCTATTCTGATAGAGCACTAATCATACGACAAAGTGCGAGGGCTACAAAGACACGGCGCACGGTCACTTCTGAAATCTTGATTCCAGAAATTTCGGTGCCAGCTTCTGAGGTTGGAGTCGCTTGAAGTGAGCTTCTTTCGCAGGTGCTGGTAGGAAGGACGTCCGCAGATTTGGGTTGAAGTGATTTGATCCGGCTGTGGGGCGCAATTCGTGTTCTGTCACATTTGTGTATTGCGATTCCTCAATCACCTAGAATTAGCTGTGAGATCCACACCCACGTGTGGACCACATAAGCCATTTCGCCCTCAAAGCTGCAGTAGATTGTCTAGTGTGTTAGCAAGATGGCAGGTAAGCATAATTCTGAATTATTGATGATATTTACGACCCACCCATTCCCAAAACAAAGTCTTGGCTAATACTCGCGTCCTACAGATAGCACGCGACGATCAGGAAGAGCTACGAAAGGCCAGCATAGCAGAGCTCTCGAGCCTGAAGATGTCCCAACGCCTCCAAAACGGGGTGGAAAAGGCAACAAGTCCAAAAAGAACGAGCCAACACCGCCACCCGAGGAAGAAGAAGAACAGGCCATCATTCGCTGCATTTGCGGCTACGTGGTGGAAGACGAGGATGATGAACGAAAGATGATATGTTGCGAAAATTGCGACGCCTGGCAGCACAATGAGTGTATGGGAATGTCAGATGATGATGATGAGCTGCCGGAAAAGTATTACTGTGAGCAATGCCGCCCAAAAGACCACAAGGAACTTCTGGCACAAATAGCGCGCGGTGAGAAGCCATGGGAGGAGCGGCAGAGGCAGCGTGAACTCGAGGAGCAAAATAAGAAGGGACGGAAGGGCAAGGGCAAGAAAGGACGCAAGCCGGGCAGACCGAGCGCAGTCCAGAAGGAGATTACACAAGAGAATGGTGCTATACACGATGATGCTATGGACATCGACCCCACTCCAGCCCAGGTCGAGCAGCCTGCCGAAGTCGAACAGCCGCCCCAAGAGGAGAAGGTTGACGAGGAGAAGGCTGAAGAGAAGAAGCCTGAAGAGAAGAAGACTGAAGAGAAGAAGGCTGAAGAGAAGAAGACTGAAGAGAAGAAGACTGAAGAGAAGAAGCCTGAAGAGAAGAAGGCTGAAGAGAAAAAAGAAAGCACCAAGAGAAAGCTGCCCGAAGAGCCCATTCCCGAAGCACAAAGCCCCAGTCAAGCAGTGAGTTCGAAACGCATATGTTCCTTTTTTTTCATACTAATATGTTCATAGGAACCTCCGAGCAAAACGCGCAAGATCACTAGTCCGATTACCGAAACGCCATCGTTGCCTCCCCCGTCTCGGCGCAAATCTGGTGCCCCGGCATCTAAAAAAAGAGATTCTACAGCTGGCCAGCCACAGCTGGAGCTTGTTGAGCAGCCCTCTGATTTACAAAGTGATGAGCGGCAAAGGGTTGCAACGGCTTTGGTCAAACTCTTCAAGGATCTAACTAAGCAAGCTGAGAAACAAGGCGCTTTCAGTTTGCCTAAGGGCCAGAAGGTCGATGAGTTTGGTAATAAATTAGGACTACTAGTAGAGCAAGCGATCTTTATGAATTTTTGGTCTGGCACTGGGAAAGCCCCTGAGGCATATGCCAACAAATTCCGCACGATCTCACATAACGCCAAAAAAAACCCCTCCCTTAGAGATCGTGTGCTCAGTGGATCACTCTCACCCAGCGACTTCTCCAGAATGGAACCAAAAGACATGGCAAGCGAGGAGCTACAAGAAATGAAGGAGGAAATGTTGAAAGAGGCAGAGAAGCAACATGTGCTCATCCAAGAGGAGGGGCCAAGGATGAGGAGAACTCACAAAGGAGAGGAGCTTATTGAAGATGAATCTCATATTGCTGACAGCATGGACTCGGCCTTCGTAGCGCCATTGAGGAAGAGGCCTTCGGAGATCGACTCCAGCATCGCCAAGCAGGCGAGTCCAGAGATCGAAAACCCGCAAAGTCCTGCTGCCGTTGAGCTTCCAGAGAACTTTGGTGCTGGGTCCGCCACCACCGCTCAGCCGTTAGTGGTCGATACAAGCGCCGAACCACGGGCGTCTGCTGCTCCAGAGCGGAAATCAGCCAACAACTTCAACATCCAGGAAGTGTGGCAAGGCGTTAAAGGCCCGGATCCTGAGACTCAGCGTACGCGCCAGGCCTCGAGACCTTCAGAGTCAATAATCCAGCAACCGCAAGGATCGGGAGTGAAAGCTGATCCGGAGATCGACCAGCTTCTCAAGGATGAAGAGCCTGAAGACGAAGAACCATATTCGCCAATTGACTACACCGCGGAACCAGGTTCTACTATCTGGCATGGAAAGCTGGCTATGGCCGGCATTGCGAGCTTTCATGGCACTGGAAGACACGTTGCAGGGGCTGATCTCAGCGCTACCCTGCCTTGGCATACATTGATACCAAGCTCCTTGACCATCGAAGGCCGAATCTCTACCGATCGCGCTGAAGAATACCTCTGCAGTCTCAAATGGAGTACGACAACAGACGTTATTGTCATAGCTGTGACTCCGAACTCAGACGCTGAGTCCCAAGTCCAGTTCGATAAGCTCTTCACCTACTTCACTGAGCGCAAACGCTATGGCGTTATCGGTAAAAGTCCGGTCTCTTCTGTCAAGGATACATATGTCGTCACACTCGATGCTGGCGCAGGAAAAAAGCCAGATTTTGTCGAAATGCTTGAATATTGCATCATCGAAGACCCCAGGCCTGAACGCACACTCCTCCTCACCTTCGCAGTCAAGCTCAATAACTCACCCTCCGCTCAACAGACGCCTCGCCCCACCGACGCCGCTTCCATTGCCAGCCCCATCGGTGGCAGCGGCGCTCAAGCCTCCAACATGGGCCAACACCCAAGCTTCCAACATTCTCCCACCGCCTTCGCTGCTCCCCAACACCTCCCCCCATATGCGAGCAGTCCAACTCAAGCTCAACACGCCTACATGCCGCCCCACCATCCATCACCCTACCCACCACAGCAACAACAGTACGGAGGCGTAGGGGTAACAGGTATCGATGCCGCGCGCCAGGCGCTCGGCGAGTTGGCAAGTGCACCCGTGGTGAGTGAGCTCCTGAAGGAAGCCCCAAGCTCGGGTGTCGCGATGGGTGTGCCGGAGTTCCTTGTTATCAGGGAACTGTTGCAGAATGTACCGGCTGCGAGGGAAGATTTAACTATGTTGAAGGGCTTGCTGACTGTGAAGCGTTTGCAGAAGGGTGAGAGTGGTACGCAGTAGAACATTCGCGAGACATTATAAATGCGAGACACTATGGATCGAGGTATATGGTGCGTGTTTCGAGCTGGATTTGTACGCATGTTACGACGTCGACGTCGAAGGCGTGTGCGGAAAAGCGCGAGGACTTTCTACGTTTCGGGACGCAAATCATCCGTTTGGGATATGAGGTCGAGCTCGCTGGACTGGCTTCCGGTGCTACGGAGTCCACTGGTGTTTGAAGCTTATTATCGTCGGTGATGAGTATAGGGGATGATGTTGGACAGAGTACTCCACAGGCTAGCGTGGATGGTCATTGCGTAGACTTATTCATGCAAACTCCTTCCGTACGGTGCGAAGGAAGGGAAAATTGCATAGACCGAGCAATTTCGGCATTGAGGTTCATCTCGCGCGGTATGAAAAAATGGATTCAGTCTAGCAGAAGTCGAGATCGAGGCTGTTTCGGTACTCTACAGTGCGAAGGGAGTAGCTGCTCTCAATGTAAATAGTTCCATAAACTGCGGTTCTTCGTTCGGCACTTAGTTGAGATTCAAAACGGATTTTCTTTTCAATAATTGCTTCAGAGACAAGTGCTCACTTTTATAAGGAGATCACCATCTGGAGTCGTACCAAATAGTTTTTGAACGACCGCGATTTGTATGTCCTAGCTACTCACTATTGTATCTTCTTCTCCTTCCCCTTCCCTAGTAATTTGTCCAGCAAGACCGTCACCCTTCCCCTAGCTTTCGCCTTCAATGCTGCCAGATTCCAACCCTCGACTTCGTCAGCCCCCACGAACCTTCTCACCAGCAGGTTGAAGATCATGCCAAATGCCAGAGCCATTACCGTACTTGTCAAGATGATTACGTTATAAGGCATACTGAAATCCGGGGTCGGTAGCGGAAGAAGGAGACTGCTTGTTCGGATATACACGGGTGCTTGAGAGTTCGACGACTCGTTTCCGAAGGGTGGCAACAGTCGAATGACAGCAGGCGCGACATCGAACCCACGATTGGCGTCAGGAGGGTACTCGGTATAGCGAAGAATGGCTTTGTCAAAGTCATAGGTGAGGATGACGGTTGAATCCGCAGGGACAGAGACAAGAAGTTCGAGCTGGGTGCCGCGCCGGCGGTCCAGGGCTGGGCGGTAGAACGTCTCTTGTATTATGTCCGGGCTTGTGGTTGAGGAGGTGGCGAGGCGGGCGCTAAGCGTATGGAGGTAGGGTTTCATGAACCAAGGGAGGGTTTCGAAGTAGACGAATTCGATGGATGAGGTTGTGGAAGGGTTGGTGAGAAGAGTCTGGACACCGCCGCGCTCTTGGCCGTGGCCTGTGAAGGACCGCGAGGCGTGAAGAGATGGTTGGGAGACATCGTTGAAGGTTTGCGGCCCTATGTGTGAGAGCACAATTTCGAATGGTTTGGATGCCGGTATGGCGAAGCATCTGCTTGTTCCTGCTGCGTTTTTGGTTTCAACCACGTCTCCGTAAGCATTGACTTCACGCTCGTGCGGTATGTTGATGCAGACTGAGTCGCGAAGCTGGCTATGAGGGTCTCCGGCGAGACAGGAGCCTTGAATTGGGCGGCCGAATATCTCGGCTACAGTCCACGACTGCCCGAGGTTGGCATCTGAAGGGTAGCAAGCTTCGTTGCCAGCGTATGGCTTGGACTGGTCGCATTGAAGGTTCTCGCTAGGTATTGGACGTGGGATTGGATTATCTTCGACCGTCAACAGTGAATTAGTCGTAAGATGAAACTACCCATCATACCTCGAGGCCGCTTTGACCGGTCAACGTCCAGCACCATGTCCACGGTCTGCTCCATTTCAATGCTGCATTCAGATCGGTCCTCTGGACATACCAAGCGTACATCGATAGCCATACTCTGCCATGAAGCGTCAAAGAGCTTGTGCCCATCCAGTAGGCTTGCTATCCCAGCTTTGCCCTTGCATGGGAGCAGCTTCAGGAAAGGGGTCAAGTTCTCTGTACAGACGACTTCTCTAGGCAAAGTGCCATGCAAAAGAAAGAGGCTTTCCGATGAAGCATCAGTAACACTGCTGGCCGGATCGAATGTCATGCGAGGTCTTGTAGTCCGCGTGGAATCGATGAAATTGAGCGAAGCGCAGAACAGGCCCGAAAGAGCGTTATTGAGGGTGACCCATCTAGCAAATGAACTGCCTCTGAGTCAGTTAATTTTCATCTACCTCAACTTGTTCTCCGTACCCAGCATCCGAGTCTGCTTCTACCCAAGCCCAGAGCTCTACCCCTGTCCCTCCCTCTTTCGTTCCTCCCCATGGCCTTGCGCCCCAACTCTCATCGTCCCATCTCCCAGTGGTGAATCTCAAATGAAGCTCTCTCGTCTTTGCATGCTGTAGTATTTGCCCAAGCGATCGAGGTATGTACTTGAAATGCTGCTGCTCGTACGACTGCAAAGAAGCGTTGCTCCAGAAGTTGAACGAAGCAAGCAGTGATGCTGGATTTAGCGGCTGGAGATTAAGCAATTCCTTGTAGTCTGGATCAGCGGAAACAAGCAGGCCAAGCAGTAGAGACAGTAGGATACAAGAGAAGCGTTTCATGCCGTCATCTCAATTGCTGCATTGTCGTGGTAAGGGAGAAGAGGAAAGCTACCTCCGCGTAGCAGAGCTAGCACTTTGATAGGGCTGACGTTTACAAGGTTTCTTTGCCTCATTTCAACCAGTCTCATCTCTACTAAAAAAAGATTGAACATCAGATTGAAATTTGACACATTCAATTATGGCCGCAGAACAGCGGAAGCTGCTTGGTAAGTTGCATGGGCACTCTTCACCCAGAAACGCACTTCAAAGACCGCTCTCTGCAACATCTACTGATCCATTACTTCACAGAGCAGCTCATGGGCGCCGGCGCCTCCTCACGACACGCACAGCTCTCTATCACCGATCCAAAGGTCTGCCGTTCTTATATCGTTGGCACATGTCCGCATGACCTCTTCACGAACACAAAGCAAGATCTCGGTCCCTGCCCCAAGGTCCATAGTGAACCTCTCAAGTCCGAATATGAAACCTCGCCCGACAAGAGCAAGTACGGCTTCGAGTACGACTATATGCGAGATATGCAGAAGTACATCGATGAGTGCAATAGAAGGATCGATGCCGCGCAAAGGCGGTTGGAGAAGACGCCGGATGAGATTAGGCAGACCAACGATCTCGTATGTCCTCCCCAAGGTGACATTTGCTAAGGTTTGATGCTGATACTTCCTCCCAGCTTAAACAAATATCCGACCTAACTCACTCCATCAACACTGGCCTTCTCGAAATCGCAATCCTTGGCGAATCCTCCTCCATCGCTCTCGCCGTTCTCGAACACCATAAAATCCGCACCGCCAAAGCCGCCAAAGAAGAAAAAGAACGAGAACTGAAATCGCTCTCCGACACCTCCGGGCCTTCAGGTCACCAGAAACTGCAGGTCTGTGATGTGTGTGGCGCGTATCTGAGTCGACTAGATAATGATAGGAGATTGGCGGATCATTTCTATGGGAAGATGCATTTAGGCTATGCGCAGATGAGGAAGACATGGGAGGGGCTGCAGAAAGAATTGAAGGGGAGGGCGCCGCCGCAGAGGGAGGAGGCGGATAGGGGACCACCCAGGGACGAGGGGTGGGGTGGTGATAGGGGTGGCTTTGGTGGTGGCCGAGGAGGGTTCAGAGGCGGTGGGGGCTTCAGGGGGGGAGGGTTTAGAGGGAGAGGCCGCTGGTGAAGGAAAGCGTTGGTGTAAAGCACTTTTGTATCTTGCTTATCTCTTGAGCGAGGCGTTCGGAGGGAGGATACCCTCTTGCATGTGGATCTCGCAGTCTCGAATAGGAGAGCATTTGAAGCATCACAAGAAGTGCACGTATGTGTGCAATCAGCTTAGCCCCTTCTCAATGGGTGCTTTGGGTATCTATTAGTTGCACCAAGCTGTCCACCAAGCAACCCATAACGCCCAGACACCAAGAATCTTGAGACGGCCCGCTCACTAATGCAAATGCCAGGTCTATTGACCATGAATTTGATTCAATGCAAACTGCTGCATTACCATTCTCCTTCCGGTGCCTTCGCGTCCTGGACCAGATCGACCTGATCTGCCCAGCTCTCGCCTCCAGCTGCGGGCTGCAAATTCTGTGTGACCTTGCCCGAAGACAGCTGCTGAATGGGTTTTTCGTTTTTACGTGCTGCCGGTCGAGCTGGCGGCAGTTCCCGAGTGGGTTCTTGGGTTTTGGATGCTGTGGGTAGAGCTGGAAAATCATTCACAGGGTCTGGCGCTGCCTGCTGAGCAACTCTGTTGAGAGCAAAGCCCCCACGTCCCCTACCACCTCGCCCTCGATCTCCTCGTCCTCTGCCTCCTCCCCTTGGCACGAACCCTTCTCTTCTCTCGTGGAACTCGCCAGATTTCCGGTCCTGATGTCCACCTTTCGGAGACGTGGTGTCGTACGCGACGCCACCATGAGCACCCCTCCGATACTGACTCCCCCTCTCCGGCTCCTGCTCGGCCTTCCCTTCATCCCATTCCCTCCCTCCCTGAGCTCCTAGCTTCCTCATCCTGTTCTTTTCTCTCTCCTGGTTCATCACCCGGCGTGCAACCCCTTCCTCCTTCCGTTTCTGAGATGCTTGTGCCTCTCGTTGCTGGAAGTTCGCTTCGTCGGCTTCGGCTAGGCGATGTGCTTCTGCACGCTTGGCGTTGTTGAGTTTGGCGGCGGCCATACGGGCTGAGAGTTCATCTTCGGTGAGCTTAGGCTTAAGCGTACCACCGGTGAGAGTGCGGTCGCCGCGGACGGCGCTGGGGGGTCTCGGCTGCTGTGGTTGTGGGGTGGAATCAGGGTCTGTCTCATTTTGGGGAGGAGTATTTTGGTTGGTTGAAGAGGCTTCTATGTTGTCATTGGAAGGCTCCAAAGCCACTAGTTCTGAAGGTGAGGATTGCGGTTGTGCACGTGGCTGACGTGGTTGACGTGGGACTTGATTCTCATATCCACGAATTGCTCGTTCATTGCGGCCGCCGCGTTGAGGCTGTGGGT